GGTCACCACCCCGCGCCACGGTCGCCCCTTCCTCTGACCTCCTGTGTCTCCCTCACCTGCTGCGGCGTTCCCCTTAGCGGCCAGCACTGTCCCGCACATTTCACTTACGTACAAGCCTGTTTCCTCTTTCTTCCTTCTAGAATGAAAGTTCCGCGAGGCCAGGTCTGTTTTGTCCCTGCCCTAGTCCTTAGGGAGCACCTGGTACATAGTAGGTGCTCGATAAATATTACCTGAATCGATGGAGGAGTCTGTATTTTTTCATCACAGCGGCTTAGACTCACTGAACTAGAGGTTGTGAACGCAAACGTTCCAGAGCTCAGGCAGACGAGTGAGGAGAGCAGGCTGCGTGTCAGGCGACAAGGGCGAAGGGCACGAAGCGTCCTGTCTGAGGTTTGGTGGGGAATGGCACAAGCAGAGGCTGAGAGCAGTGTCTGCCGCATTCGTGGGGGGTCGCAGGGAGGCCGGTGGCCCCGCACCTCCGGGTGGCTGTGGGCACGCAGGAACCCAGGCCCGATGCCTTCCGCTCCTGATTTTCCAAAGAAACCAGGCGTTTAGATTTTTATGTAAAAATATCCTTTTTTTTTTTTTTTTTTTTTTTTTGCATTAGCTATCTGTTGCTGCATAGCCAATTACATCAGAAGTTAATGGCTTGAAATGGTGTTGAGCAGTGTTATCTCAAAGAGCTCCTGTGAGCCAGGAAATCAGGAGCGACTTCCCTGGGAGGTTCTGCCCCAGGTCTCGGAAACCTGCAGGCCCCGCACCGGCAGAGGCCGCAGCCATCAGGGGCCTGACTGGGGCCGGGGGAGCGGCTCCCAGGAGGGCCGGCTGGTGGCCGGCAAGTTCGACGGCTCTTGCTGGGGGCGGGAGGGGGCGCCTCAGCTCCGCATCACGGGAACCCTTCCGTGGGGCTGTGCCTGTCCCCGCAGCGTGGTCACTGGCTTCTTCCCCTGTGAGTGATCCCAGGCAGCGAAGTAGAAGCCACAGAGCCTCCGTGACTTTGTCTCAGCTGTTACACTGTCCACGCGGGCACGTTTCCTCTGTTGGAAGTGAGCATCACTCGAGGAGGGGAGAATTAGGCTCAAACTTTTGAAGCGAGAAGTATCAGAGAACGCGTGGACTTATTTCAAGACCGTTGTGTTTCCGAATGCTGGCCGCCAGGTCCGGTAGGAGCGCGCCGTGACCCACTCCAGAGCGGGCGAGCGACACCCCTGGAGGTTGGACCGCATTCCTGGCGCCATTCGGATCTTCGTATGAAAAAGACTATATGGCATGAATATATGACATCTCGCCATTGTCCTTTTAAAGAAAATGATTTCCATGCTTAAGCTGAAAAGTGGCGTGTAGCCTCTGCATGAATACACTCCCTGTATTCTCCCTGTACACTCCCTGTATGAGTGTCAGATAAGGGACATGTCTCCTGGGGTAACTTACTGACGTCACCGGCGGGACTGAGGAATGAATGAGACGACATCTTTAAGAATTCGTTCCTTATTGTTTTGCAAACTCAACACAGTTAGGGAAACAACACAAATAGAAAAGCTTGACCCTATAGTTGGTAAATGTTCGAGTAATTTGCTTAACGTTAGTCTCCAACATGAGAGCGCATTCTGAAAATTCTTTAAGCTTGTAGACGTAAATCACGACTGTTAGTATTGTTATTAAAATACAATTCTGCTTTCTGATTACTCGCTCTGTGTTCAGATGGGGTTAAGAGAAAGTCACTGGACAATTCAACAAATATGGACCGAACAGCTCTTAGACGCCAGGCGCTGTGCTAGACACCTTGAATACCAGGCCAAACAAAGTACTTTGTTTAGTCTAATGAGGAAAAGAAAGATAAAAAAGCAAGCCGGTAAATAATTCAGCCAGATACTCCCGGGGAGCAGTAAGAGCCTCGGGGTGGGGGTGGTACCCACGCTGTGACGCCAACGGCCGGCCTGTGAGAAGCGGCATCAGGTGGACCCGCCTGAGAAGGGGACTTCTGAGCTGAGACCAGCAGGGTGAGAGGGAGCCAGTCGGGCGAGGATGTGAAGCAAATGCCCTTTAGGCAGAGGGACCAGTAAGCGCAAAGGCCCTGTGGCAGGAACAACATGGCCAAGGGAAGACTCAGAAAGGCTCGCGTGGCTACAACAGAGTGACGGGGACAGAGGCCTGACACGGGGCAGGAGAATAGGCACACGCACGCTCACACGGGACCTGGCTGGCTGTGGGTTTCATGTGTCTAGGTGACACATGGCAGAAAACGTTGCAGGGCTGAAGAGGGGAAAATAGTTTCAATATCCCTCTGTCCCTCCTGATAAGATGCGAGACACGGAACGTCACTTCTGTGCCGTCTCAGCCCAACCACGACCTAAATCTAATCCTGAGCAAGACAAACCTAAACGGAGGGACATTCTGCCGCGTAGCTGGTCCACGAAACATGCGGCAGAAGCGTCAAGATCATGAACCGCAAAGGGGAAGGTGCTGTCCAGGATCGAAAGAGACTGCGAAGCCAGGAGAGTTAAAAGTACCAAGTGAAGCTGGGCGGATCCTGCACCAGGTAAAGGAGAGGAGTGAGACAACCGGCAGCGAAGTCTGCGGAGTCGATCCTGCAAGGTACCCACATTGATTTCCTGATTCGGGCACGCGCACAGTGGTTACGTAAGAGGATGTCCCCAGCTTTAAGAACCCCTCACTGAGGGACATCCTGTTTGCAATCACTCTTAAACATAGGGGGGGGAGGGGGGTTATATATATGGTATATTTAAAATCCTATATATAAAGAAAAGGAGAGAGAGAAGGAGAGAATGATACAGAAAGCCATGTCACTATTTGGGGACATCAGCAGCAATGAATGCTGAAATTCTCTGCGCTATTTTTGCAACTTGTTTTGGAATTCTGCACACATTTCTTTGTGTATGTGGCTGCAGTATTTTGAACTACAGGTTAAACAGGGTTCTCAGTCCATGCTGGGTGGCAAAGGAAGCAAGTACCTCTCTGTCCTAAGGCCACTGGCAGCTGGAAGGGCTCAGGCAGTTTCCCGGGGAAAAGCCGTCTGTCTGCCCATTCGCGTATATTTTCCTGTTTCGCACTGTGGTCCTGAAGATGATGGTCTTTGGAAGCTGTGGGATTCGGCCAGTTAAAGACACTTGCAGCTAAGGAACAAACCACCCAGCAGGCGAGTGCAAGAGCAGCTATTGGGCTTGGTTTGGCCCGTTTCCCCAGGGCGCTTTGGCGGAAATACTTTTTCAATACCAAAGCCATGAACACGGGCGTTGTCGCCGCCCCGAATTGTACCATGGTTATCGCCCGGTCACAGTTGTGTCCCTGGCTTTAAAAAGCCAGAACATTGCAGATCAGGCTCCTTCGCCTTCTCTGCCCAGCTCCCTCACACTCCCTTCCGCTGTCTGTCCAAATGACAGCCATCAGAACTCAGCCTACATCCTTGCAGTCGATTTGTACAAATCTACATACATATCCAAGAAACAGTATGGTTTCATGTGTTTGTAAAAATATATATACACACACAGTGTTATACTATATATAATTCCTCCACGTAAAATTATGTTCTATATTATCAGATTATATAAAGCTACTATCATGTCTTTCTTGAACTTGCTTCTTTTCTCAACATTATGGTTTTGGGATCTCCTAACCTTGTGACATAGATGAACTTTATCCCTTTTAAATGCTGTACAGTCATCCGTAATATAGACAGAACGTATCTTACGTATACATTTCCCTGTCGGATATTTATGTAAGTTCCATTTTTTGCTAGTATGTCGCAGCGAGCATTATGTAAGGCCTATTTTTTGTTGCTATAATGTCACAGCAAGCGTTGTGATTCTGGGCTCCTTGAGAGCATGTGCGAGTTTAACTCCACATCTCCCTAGAAATGAACGCGCAGGGCCATGAGCTCCGGGCATTTATGTTTTATTAGTTTCTGCCCTCCCAGAGGCCAAGCCGATTTATTCTCCCCCCAGCAGCATGCGGATCTGCCTGGTGTTTTCCCGGGTCCTTTGGGGCGTCCACACTGAGTTCCCAGCAGGCAGCTGCTCAGAGGGGTTGGGCCCAATTTGCGTCACTTGGATTCCCAAAAGACTTGCCCTCAAGTGCACTTAGGGCTAGTGGCTAAGTCCTTGGTATTTGGGTTCTCCTGCTCTGGGAAGTCCCCTTTTTGAGAGCCGTGACTGCTCCGATGGGGCTGCCAGCTGCCTGCTCCTGCTGCCACTCACGGAGGCTTGCTTGGGATGGGGGACCCAGACATCAATTGAAGGTCCGTGGCTGCCCCTACAAATGCCCAAAGCTGGCCTTAGACTTAGGATGGGAAAGTGGAGGCCTTCATTCAGCCTATTTCGCTGAAAGTGACCCGATACGTGTTGAGCTTGTGGTTCACCTCATTTTCTAGCCATGATGGCCCCGTACGGTGGGTATCCCAGAAGCAAATGACTTCCGAGTGCCCAGCTCTTTGTCTGAACCTGACAGCCTTATCTCGAGTCTGGGACCCGAATACTCGTGGACCGCGTCCAGGTTTGCAACTAGGATGGGCTTCCGAGGTTGAAAACACACCAAACCATCACCCCGTTTGCAGGAAAAGGCCGCAAAGCCTTCTGACCAATTAGATACCTTTCATCCCCCCCACAAGGTCCTGATGGAGGCCCAGGGGCGGGGACAGGGGGCCGCTCCCGACCACGGCGCCGGCGAGGACTGCGAGGCCCGCGTCTACGCGGGAGGCCCACCAGCTTTGTGTAGGCCGCTCCCCAGCGTTTCCCGCCCGACGGGCCCCAGTGACCCCTCCCCGCTCTGTGACCAAGGTAGCCTCAGGGCGCGCCGCCTCCCGTCAGCGCATGCGCGCGCGGGGAAGCCGCCCGTGGGGCGGGCACACGTGGCTTGCAGGCCGCCTGCGTGCGCGCTCCCGCCCCGACTTCCTCGCCCGCCCCTTCCCGTACGCCCGCGGACGGGTGCGGCCGGCGGCGGCTGTGCACGCGCGCGTCTGGCCACGTGGGAGCGGCGAGGCGCCGTTGCCCCGCCCCCTCCGGCGCGCGCCGGCGTCGGCTGCGTCTCCGGGCATTTGAATTGCGCTTCCGCCATCTTTCCAGCTCTCAGTCAGACGGCCCGGGAGACGCTTCTGGAAGGTATCGGCGGCGGTTGGGCTGACCGGGGACCGGGGACGAGAGCCGAGGGTGGGTCCCGGGACCGAGGGCAGGGACCGAGGACATGGCTGGGCCGGGCTGGGCCGGGGCGTCGTGGCGGCGGGCCGGGCGGCGGCCGTGAGCGGGCGGTTACTTCGGGCCCTGGCGGCGGCGGGCGGGCGGGCGCGGGCTCTTTTCCTTCCCGGTGGCGGAGGCCGCGGACCGGGGTCCCAGCGCGGGGGGCCGGGAAGGGCGGCGGGGCCGGGCCGAGGGGGCAGGGAGGGTAGGGGAGGGAGGCCCGGCCGCGTGACCAGGCGCTTTCCGCGGGCCGGCCTCCGAGCGGCTCTGTCGCGGGCGCGCGGCCAGGCCCGGCGCTGAATGAGCGGGCGGGGACCCGCCGCCATTGCGCGCCCGCGTGCTGCCGCCGCCCTGCCCGCGTGTGCGAGTGGGGGGCTCGGGGCGCCGGCCTTTGTGGGCGGCACGTGGGCCCGCCCGCCACGTGCGCCAGGCCTGATCCCTTCCTCTCTGTTCCGCAGTCACATCACCATGGCCGCCCAAGGAGAACCCCAAGTTCAGTTCAAAGTATGTCGTCCTCGGAGCTGCGCCGGCGGCGGGGAACGCCCGCGCCCGGAGGGAGGGCGGCCCCGGGGGCGCGCGGGCCCGTCCCCGGCGACTCGATGAGCCGGTCTCCTTCCCGGCCGCAGGCGGTGCTGGCTGTGCAGCGGCCGGCGCGCCTTCGCGGCGGGGTCCGCGGGGCTCCCCGGGCCCCCAGACGCGGCGGCGGAGCCCGCGCGCAGTCGTGAGTTAGAGGCAGCCGGGCCGCGTCCCTCCGGCCCTTTGTTCAGAGCGGCCGAGGGACGGTTAGAGTCGTGTCTCTCGGGTGAAGTGGGGTCCAGAGAGTCCACTGCTCCCGCGGTTTGGGGTCCGTGTTTGGGGCTCATTTCAGCGCTGTGTTCCCCGACAGCTTGTGTTGGTTGGCGACGGTGGGACCGGGAAGACCACCTTCGTGAAACGCCATCTCACGGGTGAATTTGAGAAGAAGTATGTAGGTACGTGGGGACGGGTGGGCGCGAGCGCGCGGGGCGCCGCGCGGGCCGGGGACTGACGCGTGTGCCGCCGTTGCAGCCACTCTAGGCGTGGAGGTCCACCCGCTGGTGTTCCACACCAACCGAGGGCCCATCAAGTTCAACGTCTGGGACACGGCGGGCCAGGAGAAGTTCGGCGGCCTGCGGGACGGCTACTACATCCAAGGTGGGGCGCGGGGGGCGGGATCGTGAGGCCGGCCCTGGGGCGGTGGGCGCCGCCGAGAGGCTCCCTGGAAACCGCTGGTTTATAGGGAGCCTCCGAATTGGGGGGTGGTGATCGGCAGCCGAGCTGGCGGCGCAGCCTCAGCATTTGGGGACTTAGTTTGGGAACGTTTTGCTGGTTATAGCGGTTACCGTCCCTGCCGTTGAAGACGGTGAACAGGCACTCGTGCTGGATCCGAGGGGCTGGGGTGGGGTCCCTTTCACAGGTGGTGTGTGGCCAGTCGACTCCTTTTTAATTGTACTAAGTTTTGCAAAGTAATTTTCTTTTCAAACTGGTTGGTTTAAAAATTGCATATTCATTTGCTGTACCAAACAAGAACGACTAGAGAAAACACTCATTTCCTGGAATCTCGCTCTGTTGACGAATTGTTGGGAATCTTTCCGTGCCTTTAGCGTGCCTTGCGAACATCCAAATTCTTTACCTAAAAACCTGCTGGACCACACGTCCTCTGGCGTGTTTTCTTACCAGCTTGATCAGGGCTATCTCTACATCTGCCTTTTTAGAAACAGGCATGAACTCTCCTGGTACATTCAGCCATTTAAGGGTCTTTTAAAGAATCCCTTTCTAGATGTGCATAATACCGGAAGGTGAGTTCTCTGCCGATTTGCCATGAACTTCCTTTGGATACTTTTTTGGGATGAGGCAGAACCAATGTGAAACGTTACAGGGAGATTTGATAGGGTACGCTGGTGTTTCGCACTTCTCGTGCGTTGTAAAATAAACGGGAATTTTAAGCATTATTGCTTGCGATCATAATTTAAGGTGTTTAGAATTGGAAGAGACCTTAGAGATGCGTGAGAGGCATCTAGAGGGCCTGGAGTTTGGCCTGAGGCTGGGAAGTTGAATTGATAATTTGTCAGTGTTTCTCGTCCGTGCGGTACAGCCCTGGGAGCGTACTGATGGCTGCGCGTGCCTCTTTCAGCCCAGTGTGCCATCATCATGTTCGACGTCACCTCGAGAGTCACTTACAAGAACGTGCCTAACTGGCACAGGGACCTGGTGCGGGTGTGCGAGAACATCCCCATCGTGCTGTGCGGCAACAAGGTGGACATTAAGGACAGAAAAGTCAAGGCGAAGTCCATAGTCTTCCACCGAAAGAAGAACCTTCAGGTTGGTGTGATGCTTGCGGATCAGGGCCCTCGGGCAAAGGGCAGTGCGGGTCTGCTCCAGTGGCTCGGAGGCGTGTGTGATGGGAAGGATTTTGTCTCTTAGCTGGAAACATCCCCAAGAATAATCATTTAAGTGTAATTTTACTTCTGTTTTTACCAGTACTACGACATTTCTGCCAAAAGTAACTACAACTTCGAAAAGCCCTTCCTCTGGCTCGCTAGAAAACTAATCGGAGACCCTAACTTAGAGTTTGTCGCCATGCCTGCTCTCGCCCCACCGGAGGTCGTCATGGACCCAGCGTTGGCAGCACAGTACGAGCACGACCTCGAGGTACGTGTTCACACTGCGGGGCCGTCCTCAGGGCGGTGCGTCCGCGTCCCTGCCAGCCCCCGTCTGGAGGGTCACCGTGTTCCATCTCTCTCCAGGTTGCTCAGACCACCGCTCTGCCGGATGAGGACGACGACCTGTGAGAAAGGGAAGCTGGAGCCCAGCGTCAGAAGTCTAGTTTTATAGGCAGCTGTCCTGTGATGTTAGTGGTGCAGCGTGTTTGCCACTTTATTATCTAGCTAAGCAGAACCTGTGCTTGATCTGTGGGGTGCTGAGGCGAATGGGCTTCGGAGTGAATGTGGCCGTTTAAAAACACCTTCATTTGTTGGACCTGCATATTTTGCTGTTTTGGAACGCAGTTATTTCCTTACTGAGTTTCAACTCTAAGACTGCGGCAGCCGCATCACAACATTCAGTGGAGAAACCTTGTTTGTTACTGTCATTCCCGTTCCTTTCCGTTTAGAATCAGAATAAAGTTGTATTTCAAATATCTCAGCAAGTGAACTCATCCCTCGTTTAATAAGCATTTTAAAACCACTAACAAGGAAAACTGTGCTGTTACTCTTTAGATTGCCTTTACTATTGTCACTTAAAGTCTGACGTTAGATTTTTCCTGTTCTGATTTTTTGTATTTTCAATCATTTCACACAAATGAAATGACAGATCAATAGTATTGTGTGTGGTAAGTTAAGAGGTGTAAATACTGTCAGCGCAGTTCAGCTGAAATAACGTCTCCCCACCTGCTTTCTGGCTACGTAGTGTCACGTGTGAAGAGCTTGTTCAGGACCGTGCGACCTGATGGGGCACAAGCGGTACGCGTTTTAGACATTCCAAACAGACGTTTTAAGAACTGTGTTTGGCTTTTATTTTATGGCTGAAGTAACCGATCTGCTGGCACAGAGCATTTCAAAGTCAGATGAAGCCACTCAGAGGGTAGGCAGAGCTTGTGGGAAGTCTGATCTGTTAAAAACAAACATAGATTATGCATTTATTTGCTTTTTGTTTTAATGTTAGATGTTAATGTAAAGATATTCTAGGAAGATGTTCTATATTTATGCACTGCTCTTTAAGTACTTCCAAGCTTTAAAGATGCCAAAAATTAAGGATTTAAGTTAGAGCACCACAGCTTTAATGGTTTTTTTCCTGAGTGATTTTTGGGAGCGGTGCAAGGACGCAGGCAAATAACCAGGAAACCCGCTACCGCGGAGGAGTAGTCCTGCCTCGGCGGTCTTCTGTGTGGTTTCCGCAGTCGGCCTGGCCCGAGTTTGATCTCAGTGACACTAGACTGTAGAATTCAGTTTCAAAGGTGTGAGCTATTTTGCTCATACAAGTATTGCTATACTTCAGTTTACCAAAGTTCTTCAACTGTCCAATTTTCCTTAAATGATGACTTCTTACCAAAAACAGGTAGGAAAGGATCACTCAAATACATGGGAAAATATACAAAGTGTAGAATGGATTAAATTTTAAGATTGAAGTTCAACATCAGTAGGTTTGCTTAAAGTTTGAATTGCTGTATATGCTGTGCGCTCTCCCATTCAGAACCAGATGTTAACAGTCCAAGGTGTGAAAAGTTTCTTCCCCAAATTGGGATGAAACCTCTCAGATAACCTAATGTAAGGGGGGTCGTGTGTGTGTGTGTGTGTGTAGAATGCAAGTGTAACGGACACTCTGACTCTTCAATGTAACCCTTAACTTTTGGAAGCTGCTTGTTTAATACGGGGTGGGAAAGGGTTTACGAGTCGTTGGAAAAAATACTGCTGCGAAATATATTGCTTATACTTTGCTTGGATTTTCTGAATCTCTAGTATTTGCGAAATAACTGATAGCACTGGTCATCGTGCGGGGCATAGAGTTGTGTCCAGTTTATACAAATGGAAAGCTGTCCTCCGTTTTGTGAGGACTCGTGTGGGAGAAGCCGTGCGCGGAAGACCCCGGTGGCGGCGGCGGGTGGCGGCGGGCGGCGGCGGGCCGGGGAGGCCTAGGGCGGGCTGGGCGGCCTTGGCCTGTGGGGTCGGTAGGCTAGGAGGCCTCTTCGCGGGAGCGTTCCGTAATAAAGCGAAATTTGAAAATGGCGCTGGCGAGCTTCAGAAAGGGCAGGAGGTCTCGAAAGGCAGTTCCCCCACGTGTGTGGACTGCGTTTTTAAAAGCCCCTGCAGAATGGGTCTCTGGGCTTGTCAATCTCAAAACGAGTGAAGGCAGGTTTTCAAGACCAAAACGGACCGATTGCCGGGCTGCTGACAAGTACCTGAAGTGACTCAAGTGAAGATTTTTGCTTTCTGTGGTGCAACGTGACCATCTAGGAAGTTACATGTTGAGCAAAGGGGATGAAGGGGCAACAGGTTTGATGGGCGTGTGCGTGCTGGACAAACCCACCTTGTGTTTTGATGAGACCTTCGGCCACATTGGGGCGCAGGCGTCCTGCGGGTCGAACCAAGACCTGAAAGGTGCACGTCCGTTGGGCAGGCACCGTGCCAGCAACGGCGGTGACCGAGTCCGGCCGCCCCTCCCAGCCTTCAGCCCGGAAGCTGTTTGGAGAAGGGGAGAGGTTTCCTGACCACTGGCATCCTCACAGTCAGTCACGGGACCAGGGTCTGGTTTGGAAGGGGCTCCGACCGCAGCTGCCGCTGCCGCTGCCGCTGCCCAGTCGGGGTGTGGGCGGTCGTCACCCCATCGGCGCAGCCTGCCTGGGTGGGTTCGGGTTCTCAGATTGGACAGTTGCAGGGGCAGGAGCTGGGAGGCAGCTGGGCTGTGCAGGCTCAGGACGCACGTTACAGAGGCAGAAGGGCGGCCGCTCGATGGTCCAGGCGGGCCGGCCGGCCTGTGCCGGGAAGAGGGAGTGCCCGGTCCCCGCAGCGCGCCTGCCAGCCAGTCCTGCCGGGTCGGCGCTCAGGCTGGCCTGCGAGCTGGTTCCTGGCCCTGCTGTGGGCACCCCGGCAGCCGCGCCCAGCCCCCGTCAGCAGGGTGGCTGCCCCAGGGTTGGTGACCTTTCCTGTGGGACCCCTGAATGGGGAGGACAGGGATTTGGGGGTCAGAAAGTCCAGGGGAGGAGCAGGTCAGACTCTGTGCCTCCGGTGGAGTCATCTTGAGGTCACGGCGGGGCTCCCGCCGGAGCCGGCACCGGGCACATCGTAGCCAGTTATTCCTGCCTGACGCCGCCCGAGGAGTGGCAGAGGGTGGGTGCGAGTCACCGAGCTCACACGATGCTGTTCCTACACACCGAGTCCCTGCTGCCGTAGCCGCGGGAAGAGGGGGAGGAACCTGGAGTGCAATTGCTTCTCCCCTCCCTGCCTGTAAGAAGCGAAATGGGGGCCGTTCCAGGCGAGAAGGCCGCCTCTGCTGTGGCCGTTCCTGCCCGCGCGTCCTGAGCGCCTACCTGCGCTGGGTGGCGGCGGCCAGGGCTTTGCCGGGAGCTTGTGTCCTGGGAGCTGGGCAGTCGCGGGGCTGCAGGAATGAGCGGTGAGTGCAGCCCCTGCCACGGTGGGAACGTAGGTGACGCTCGGGCTCGACGGGCACCGGGCCTGTTGGGGGAGCCGGGGCAGGGACCGAAGGCGGGCAAGGAGGAAGCGAGGCAAAGGGCGGGCGGGCCGGCGGGGCGAGGGGGCGCGGGCAGCTGGAGGCCGGTGTGGCTGGGGACTCGGGGCGGGGTTTCTCGGAACCGTGTAGAGCTCAGCGGGAGCCCAGGTGGGTGGGGGGGGCGCCCAGTGAGCGAGACGGTCTAGACTTGTCTCCTCAAGTCCAGCCTCCACACTGCAGAGTCCAGATACGGGGAAGGCACCGTGTCACGACAAAATCTCTCCCTCTAGCAAGCATCGCGGCAAACCCTGGAGTGAACCTCCACTGTAACGTCCGGCACCATCTTCCAGGCCACCGGGCTCACCCCCATCTCCGTTCGGGGCGACTGACAAAAACTCTGGAGTCACATGTACAGTGTGATGTTTCGGTGAAATGATCGCCACAATCAACCTACTCAATGTATTCAGCACCTCAATTACTTGTGCGTAGCAAGAACGGTTAAGACCCTTCTCTTAGCCAATTTCAAACACTCGGTATACAGTAGTCCTCCCCCCCTCCACCCCCCCACCGGTTTCCGATACGCGGGTCGAGCGCCCCGGCTCGGGGACCCTCCTGACGTGCCCTAACACAAAGTCTCAACGCCGGCGGCGCTGTTACATTGGTTCCCCTCATCACATATCAAGGGTGACACTATCAGCAGTTGTTTATCACTCTCTGGGCCCGATTTACAGCGTACACTTCATCCGAAGCAGCTACTGAAGGAAAACAGTGCACGGAGGGTTTGGAGCTGCCGTGGTCTCAGGCGTCCGCGGGGGGTCTCGGGACGTACCCCTGCATTTAAGGGGGAATCGTGGCGGCGTTGCTGACTCGTCACTGTGCTTATGTTCCAGGGCCGCTTGCCCTGCTTAACACGCTTTGTGCCCTTGACCAACAACCCCCACCCCTGCCGCCGGCCCCTGGCACCACCGGTCTACGCTCTGCTTCTACGAGTCCCGCCGTTTTAGGTTCCACACACAGTTGTGATGTGAAAAGCTTTTCGTTTTTAAGGCTGAATAATATTCCACTGTGCGTGTATACCATGTTTTCCTTATCCGCCGAGGCAGATTCATTGTCTCAGCTGTTGGAAATAAATTTGCTGCTCAGACGAGAGGGTAAATAAAAAATTAAGGCGCTTCCAAAGTATCAGGAACGAGCTGCATTTCTATTTAAAGTTACTGCTGTACGAATTCAACACCGATTAGTTTAGAGACGCTCTCCGGTGAGACAGCCATGATGCTGAGCCTCTGGGCGTGGAAGACGGGAAACCCACTCGTCGGGAAGGAGCTGTTACTCTAGAGCGGCGGCCAGCCCGGCAGTGAACCGCTGCTGCTCGCTGCTGCTTCCCCCTCCGCGTAGGCAACTAGCAGGACGAGTTTTTGGTTCACACCTGTTTTCTTTTTGGAAAATAAAAAGGCAGTTCTGACTGGTGCAGCTCAGTGGATTGAGCACCGGCCTGCAAACTAAAGGGTCGCTGGTTCGATTCCTAGTCAGGGCCCAGGCCTCGCTTGTGGGCCAGGTCCCCAGGAGGGGGCACACAAGAGGCAACCGCACGTGGATGTTTCTCTCCCTCTCTCCCTCCTCTCACCTCTCTCTAAAAATAAATAAATCAATAAATTTTAAAAAGGCAAAATTTTATATATTATGAGAATGTAAGCACACACATGTCCTCTGTGTGTGTGTGTGTGTGTGCGCGTGTACAATATTTATGAATATACTCCCCCTTCCTTACACAAAAAGTAATGCTATATATGCTCCTCTGAACTTGAAACAACGTACCCAGCACACGCTCCCTGGCAAGGGGACGCCTGCCTTCGTTTTCACAGCTGCACGGGCATACGTCGTGTTGTGTGACGCTCGGCTCTGGCAGACCCTCTGGCCTTCTGCGCAGATGTAATCTTGGAGCTTCGTGCCCAGAGCACCTTTGCAGTGAATGACCAGGAGTGGGCTGGGGGGCGGAGGGCGAGGGCACGTCATTTCGTTAGGGCCGAATGCCTCCCTTCAGGGGGTCCTAGCAAGTCTCACTCCTGCCAGCAATATATTCCATTTTGGCCACAACAATTTTTTTGTAAAATAGTCTACATCCTAAACATTTTCTTGCAAAATAACAAGATGCCCTTTGCTCTTGAGAGCTGTGAAGCCCGGCCGCCCAGCCGCCACGCCCCCTCCCACACAGGTGTGCGTTCACGCCAGCCGCCGCGCCCGTGGGCCGGCTCCTGGGGCTGCCGAGTCCCGTCATAAGACTGTGCTGGCGGTTTTAAGTGTCCCTTACCTGTGAGTGTCGCGGAAACGCGTCTGTCCTAGCGGTGCATCCATTTGGGGGCAGCGTGCGTGTCCGGAGAGGGCCGCGTGCCATCCGCACAGTGCGCCTGTAACGCAGAAATCAGCCCATTGTCAAATCTGCAAACCTGCCTGCAGTTTTGTGGTGGCAGTTATTTTCACCCTACGGAAAGTGTGTGGGGTTCGAGGTCGAGGGAGGGCTTTTATCTTTATCTCAGTAAGAAGCCAGCACTGAGGAGACGTGTTTAGGAGCCGCACAGGTGGGGGTAGGGGCAGGGGGGGGGGGGTGGGGGTGGGGGACCTGCCCTCCACCGGAAGATCAGGGTGTTTGTGTCAAATGGTGAGCAGGGCGCAGATGTCTCGGGAGGACGGGCTGGGCCAGCGCTCGGGGCCGGGACGTTGTCACTGAGATGCTGAGAGCGGTGCAGAGGTCGCTGGTGGCCTTTTAAGATGAAATCATCCCGTGTTTAGTGATAGCGCGTTCTTACGATGCTCTAGTTTAATAGAGCTCTTTGCTAAATATCCTTGTTATCTGAGGATAATGGATATGAAAAGTAGTCACTTGAAATAAGTCTAAGACAAGGATCCAAATTCCAGCGTGATGAGTAAAAAGTGATTAGACTTTAATTTGAAAAATGAAACGAATCTTACGATGCAGTTTCAAGTTAATGCCACTGAGCTTATTGAAATTATATGCTAATTCTTAGAGCAAACTCAAAATGAATTGCATTAATTTGGGAGGAACATCCTTTGTGTGGTAGAATTTTAGTACATCCTTCACTTCACACTTGATTTTCACAGCATAATCACATATATATATGTGTGTATATATATATAATTTTGTGTGTGCGTGAAAACATCTGAGGCTTTCTTAGTTTCCGTGGGGACCTTCCTTGGTGTTCAGCATTCAGATTATTCCCTTTGGAGCACTGTCTGTCCCTGTCCCTTTCTTGT